ACTACTGTTAAGCGCCTCTACTTCTATAAAAACAGATCAAATTATTATTATATATATTTTAATAAATAATAAAAAAATAAAAATAATATTAAATATTCTAAACCTAGTAGGTACTAAGTAGCATAATTAAAAAGAATTGACTTAGAAACAAGTGTTTCATGATGAGGAATGGTAATTATTCCTTCATGTCTTCATGTAACTGAGAGCAGCCTGAAGACAGAAACAGCACCGGAGAAACAATAATAACAGCAGATCTGCTCCATCACGTAGACAGCCGAAAAGAGAGCCACTCATCATGACAACATTTATCATATCTTGCTTCCTTAACTGGAGTTAAGAGGTACAACTGAGCTGACAGCCACCACTTAAAAACTTCAAACATGGTCTTACACTGAGCTTTCAACCTCTGTTTTCTGCCAGAAACACACAAAAAAAGACAAAAATAATCTCCTGCATGCTTATGTATGCCTCCTCTGAGTGTTTTATTCTTTTTATGAATTTATGGCTGTGCTTATCTCTCTCAAACCTCATGATAATAGAGTCTACCTGCCATATGCCACTGAATACAAGTCATAAATCTATTAAGCAGTGCTATGATTAGATCATCCAACTCCAGGCTTGGAGCACATTGGCAGTTGTTCAATGGTCTTTTGTCGTTACAGCTTGTTTCTTAACCTGGGAGCTGAGGACATGAGGATTCAAGTAAGCAATAAAAGAGAAATTAGAAAACAGCTTTCCAGTTGAGATAAAAGCTCTTTTGGCTGCAGCGGTTCAGCACTTGACCTGCTGAGTTTGTGAGGTTCAAACTCAAACACATTTTAAAACAGCAGATTTTTGTGCCATTTGACTTTGCTGAGTCCTGCAGAGAAAAAAAGTAATTGTTCTGGTTTTGAGTGCATGTGTGTTTGAGTTGGGGGCAGTTTAAAGGGATCACTGAGTGAGGACAGTACTACAGCTGCGATAGAATGAAGTAAGAATAATTTCAACTTTTAAATCATATTGTTTGCAGACATATGAAAACTATGCAGAGTACTACGCAGAGTTAGAAGCAGAAGGATTCTATGATAATTATACAGCACAGAGATGCTCCTGTACCTCTTGCAAAACTGATGTCATGCCTCATGTCGACCCAGTAATCAAGTGAGTCAAGAGGAAAGAATGTCTAATAATGCAATAGTACACTTGGAGTGATGAAAACAACAGTTTTCATACCTAGAGTTACTGTCGAGAGGTGGAAACAGACAATTACTGTTTGGGGTTTCAGAAAAAGGAAAGGTTTTCTTAGCGTTGTCACTTGATACAATACAACTTTTGTAAAAGAGTTTGCAGAGTTTGAGGTGAGGCATGAGCAGTTTGATTTTTGATTTCTGCTTTGATCCTGTGCACAGTAGCTCAACAGGATCTTTGAGTGATCAGTTTACGGCTGAGGACTGCTTCTGAGTTTTGCACAGAATTTGTTCACCGTTAAGCATTAAGTAAACTTTTCACATATGTTCGCCAAAGATGTTAAGAGCCAGAAGATCTGTCAACCAGACATCAAATGTTGAACTGTTTTCAACTTTTTTCTACATTGCACTCCGTGACAAAAAAGCGTCAAAATTGCAGCACTCCAGCTGCCCCACCAGAATCACTTTGAAATATTTTGAGTTCAAAAAAGGTTTCTCCTGAGTTGTGTCGCTGTATGGCTAGGCTCTCACTTGTACCACCAAATTTTTTGTAAAACATAAAGACTAAAGGATCACCCATGAAAACACTGTTCCAGCTAAAAAGACTCTTTGGTGTTACTGATGTGACTTCCACTTTCCCACAGGTGCTGGTAACAGGTGGGGGTCGAGTGGGGAAGAGGCCTCGCCAGCGTGGCCGGCTGCCACAGCGGGTCAGGGGATCATCTTCCGCCCAGCTGCTGATGCCCTGTTATCCCTGAGCCATTCATCACGGCTCGCTGAGAGTCAGATATGCGCTGCCCCCAAACCCTCCAGCTCCCAGCATTCCTCACTTTCCCCTGTGGATCTCCACCACTGATAGCTGTCAGGGCTGTGCTGATCTACCCAGACACCTACCCTCCATGAATTTGCATGCATTTGTTAAGCTGGTGTGAATCTGTTTTAAGTACTTAACAACATGTCACTCTTCATGTCTGTCTGTCTGCAGCTTGTGTCTTTAAAATCACAGAGCAGAACTTAACTCATTTACAACAAATCATGTATACTTTACACTTTTGCCAAGGCGTTTTATACAGTTCTAGATTTTGTTTGTCTTTCCACGCAACCACTGGTTTCCATAATTTTTTTGTACAGGATGAAAATCAGTTAGTAGACTCTTGAAACCTCTTTGATTTGTGTAATCCATAACTGTGGACATCAAGTCAACAGGTACTTTATGTTTAAGTGCAGATTGATTTAAAGAGTCGCCTCTTTCTCCTACTACCTAACAATAATGTAAGTTAAAGGGACCATCGTGACCATCAGTGGCACTATTGAGCAATATTTTTTTGCACAGATCCCTATTTATTTCATATCTGCTTCTCTAGGAACATTCACAAGTGCCTACATAAGCAGACGGCAGATTCTATTCCACGTAAGGACATTTGGTGGAGGTAACTCGCCAAGAAAGATGCACCAGAAAAAGGATGGGGAAGACTACTAGCCCATACAAACGTGGATACAGTATAAAAAATGCAGGTTTATTTAGGGAGATTAATATTCCAAAATTTGGCTTTGCAAATGTTTTATGAGTAAGGAAATGAATTGAGCACGTGTGGCTTGGGCTTTGAGGATACGCACAATAGTGAAAAAGGTAAAAAGAAAAACTATTTTTCATCCACGTTTTTCATGCTTCACACCGTTCAAAAACAAATGGAAACCAATGGATGTCTTGAACAGTACAAGATGAACTGAAATGTATAACAAAGAGCAGCCTGGTGTTCAAAATGATTAGCTGTGACGACTCAAAGTGGTTTCTACCCACAATGTTAAGGTACATGGTTGTGCTTTGCTGCCAAGCAACAACAGCAATAAATGCTCCTACTATGAAGGCACATGCAGTGATGTTCAAACTAGTTCACAATGCAAAAAATAGCGTGAATGGAAACTTACACACACCCAATGTTTTGACAGAAGTTTTCTTCCTAAGCGTGCTGGGTGTTTGCACACGATTCTCGCATTACTCTTGTATGTGCTTGCCTTTTTTAAGACATATTCAGTGTATAATATATACAGGAGACTAAGGTAATCTACTGCCTGACTGGATATATACAGTGCTGACTGATGCTAAGGTTAAGTAAAGATGAAAGAAGGGGGCACTGCTAGTACACATATTGACAGACCCTTTGGCAGGATGACCGGCAGTTAACTTCATGTCATTATTGATCAGATGATTCAACCGATTGATTGAGAAAATGTTGATGGATTGGAGGTGCGTAAGTACAGGTTTGTAGCAGCATGTGGAACGGGGGGTTACTTCAGTACAATTCCTCTGGATTAAAGCAATCACTATGAGGTACAGTGCTGATTTTCAGCTTTGATTTGAGGGTGATTTCATCCAGCTGACCACTGAAGGAACTATAGCCCTATTTAAACATGTTTAAGGGTCCAGAATGTATAGGATAAACTAAAATAATTGTCTGAAGTCTCCAACCCATCTTCCCTGGTGAGGCTCTGCCAGGACTGCAGTTAAATCATCTTCACTTTTTACATGTTTAACTAACTTGTCATCATGATCAGTTGGATTGAGGTCAGGTGACTGACCCACCCAGTTAAGACGTTTCCACTGTCTGTATGTTTAGGATCATTGTCCTGATTCTTGGCTAAGAATCCCACACTTTTCACCAAATATGGATGTAAACAGCCTCAAATTAAAGCTGAGAGTCTACTCTTTAACCTTGTAGTCATTGTTTTATTTCAAAGCTAATGTGCTGCAGTACAGAGCCAAAACAGTGAAAAATGTGCCACTTTCCGGTATTCAATCCATAAACATAAAGGAGAATGTAAAACAGGCATTTAAGAATTTTGGTATTTGTTTCTTCATATGTACAGTACCTATGGTGCAGACTCGAATGCATGCTCTTAACTGGAAGGGTCAGAGGTCAGGAGCAGGTCATGCTTCAGCATCTTGCTCAAGGACACTTGAACACATGACACAAGGACATAGATCCAGTAGACACACTGGCTGCCTAAACCTTAGACCACCCAGTTACTGAGACAGTCTCTCCAACCAATAAGACAACCTGCCTGCAATGAATAAACAGCCAAGGGCTATAACTCTTATAGATAAAAACCAACCCCTGCATGTACAACAGATGACTGATAGAGGCTTATTTTATCCGTCTAAAAGACATTGTAAAACAACATGATGATGCTCAAACTTGGTTGCTAAGCTGCAGAAACATTTGTATTTGAGCATTTTGTATTTTGTATTCAATCAACATCACTCATCAGCATCATAAACATATATGACTTGGAAACCTAGACAGACTATGTCAAATGCATTGTGAATAAATACAAAATTTAACCTGCTGAGTTTGTACAGTCTATACACTTAATCATTAAGGTCCCTGTGGAGTAAGAAAAAGTATCAAAATGTAGCCACCAGAATAGACTCACAAGCTCTCATTGTTAATAGAGACTGATGACTTCTATTTTTGTTGCTAAAACTGGCAAACAATGAGAGAGTTAAAGAACCAATTCAAAATCTTTAGGTCGGTGACATGGTGGTGACACAAGTCATGTGCTTGTAAACAGTGTAGAAACCAATCTAGGTTATTTTTTGAAGAATTTGGTTATTTTTGCTAAAGAATTGGTGAAAATCTATAAAAACTGGAGCAGGAAGGAAAACACTTGCAGGACAAATGTCTTCTTTCCATCTTTCCAAACTAAAGGTTAAAAACTCAGTGCACTTTTTTGACAGTTGAGAGAAGGGCAGAATTTGCATTTCCCTACAAAAAGCACAAATACAGTTGAAGTTCCCCTCCACAGTCAGCCCAGCCCACTCCCAGCTCTTACCACATTGTAGCAGGACTTCTTGTTTGATCCAGTGAAGTGATATGGGTCTACTGTGTTGCACATCTGCATGTACAGCTTGAACAGTTTGTTGATGTGTTTCAGGGACATGACGCAGACGGCTGAGTTAGGGGTCGGCTCCGGAGAGTTCGGCTTTCCCCGGGCAAAGGCAGCGAACAGCACGTCATCACCCGCTTCTACCTTCAGATGCTTCTGAAGTTCAATGTCATTGCCCACCTTGGTGACGTGGGCTGCCTGGATGATGTTGAATACCTTTAAATCTTCCGTGGAGCGTCGTCGCCTTTTATCTGTGCTGATGCATTCAAGGGGCATCTCCACATAACGGCGGATCACAAGGTCTGAGGAGCACATACGGACTATTCGGGTGTGGTAGGCCTGGGAGTCCCTGTTCACCCGCTGCACTGTAAGGAAGTAGGTGAAGGGTCCACTGTGGAAGGAGTAAACGTATCGCAGGTAGTAGTTTCCACGTAGAGGTGGAATCAGGTCCATGTATGAGTGGTTGGAGAAGAAAGTGAAGCCGTTTTGGCTTGTCTTCATCTTCCGCAGAGAAATGGTATGGGGGTGTGTTGAATTGCCCGTTATGTTTCCTGTACCTGGGATCTCAGAGTTCCCAACAAAAAACTTGATGACGTTGCTCTCCACATTGAGCACCTGAGAGCCTGAAGGGCTGACCACGACATCTGAGTCGCTGGGTTGGCCCTTACCTTGCATTACCTTGTTGGCGAAGCAGTAGACCTGCTCATCAACGGTTTTTGGGCTAATATCATCATCCAGGACATGACGGCGGCAAACACCATTGTCTGCCGAGCCACAGCTGTACAAACCCTTGTCGTAAATGTTCTCCACCACCAAGGCAATGTTGTGGTTGTCCACTCTTCCACCGCCAGTCGTGCCGGTCAGTTTCTGGCCACAAGTCTGGTTGGAAAACAGCGGCCCTGTGTGGTACTCCGACAGCTTCGTGAGGTTCGGGGCCAGGGCATAGATTCTGTTTACAGCCCCGACGTAGATAATTCCATCTAGCGTGACCATGTTCTGGATGGGGAAGTCTGCAGTGAACGTTGGGAGATTGTAGGTGACTGAGAGGTTGAGTTTGTTGGTTGATTTATCACACTGGCACTGCGCACTGGGGCACAAGGCCCACAGCAGCATGACGGCATGAAGCAAGTGGCGATTCATCCTGTTCCAGAAATAAGAGACATGACAAATTAGTTGGTGAAACATCCCAGCTAGAACACAAAGAACTCAAAACATTCATCATAGATATCTTTGAATAGGTGGCCTAAATTATCTGGAGTGTGAATGTGTAGGAAAAAAAAGTGCAATCTGTGCTGAATAGGGACCACTGAGGGGAAACAAGAGGGACATCAAGATCCCTTTTTATACTCATAAATAGAACTGTGTCAGCGTATAAAACCAGGATTTACTCACTTCACCACAAGCAGTGAAACCATTCATACTGATGTGACTAAAGTCTTTATGGTGACACAAAGCTTTAATATCAGCCTCCTAATCATCCATGGTTGCACTTCTGACTCCTCTGACCCTAGACAAGCCAAGAGTGAGACCTGGGTGAGCACTTCTGTAGCGCACAGCTCTGTTCCCAAGTGACCCCAGCAAAAGGCAAGGCAGTGAATCACCCATAGAGCAGCCCGCTCTGCAGGGCGACACAACCACAGGCCTAAGTTTAGACAGCAAGGGCCCAAGGGAGCCGAGATAAACTCAATTAAAACAAAAGAGGCTGGAGGAAGAAGGCAAGGGGGACCATCCTGCAAAATGATAAATAACCCCAGCAACTAAATGGTAGTCCACTGGGAGATGCTTTTAGTGGAGGGAGGGAGGGGTGCAGGGAGAGCAACACCAGAGAATTTGCAAAATATGCATTTGCATGCTCCGTATATGGATGTGGTTTTAACATGATCTCCAGATGTAAACCAAAACATGGCAATGGCATTCAGCACAGTAGGTTTGGTTTTACATTCATGCCCACAAAGACACATAAACTCACTGAGATTCCCTGTGTGCATATTTTGACTAATTTATGACTGATGTCTCAATGTTAGCAGTTCATTTGTGTTTTTAGAACAAGTCTGAGAGAGAAAGCTCAGTTTTCCATGTTGTCACAGTGTTTCAGGGAGAGGATTTACAGACAGATAGACCAAACAGGTGCTTGTAGGAAAAACACCTAGGAAAAGGTTATGACCGAAAATAATATAATATATGATATCATAAGACATAATATGTAAGTCAAAAGCAACACTGTAAGAGTATAACAATATAGTATCAAATAAAGATAAAAAGGAGTATAAATTTAGATCCCAAAACACTGATTCTGTTAGAGAATATTACACAGTATAAGAGTCAGGTTGCTCTTATTAAGGACGTGGTGAGATGAGTATCGTCTTGTTTTGCTCTAAAATTCTGAGTAATAGTGGACACATTATTGCGCACCTGCAACAAACACTATAAATATACAGCCTCGTAGCACGGTTGTTTTTTCCAAAGGACAAAAGGCAGTGGGAAACAGTGAAAATGTTTTCATTTGGAGAGGAAAGTGACTCATGGCGAAAGGTCTCAGAAAACACAAATGGGAAGTTGGTGAAATGGTGTTAGGAGCCAGAAAAAACATTTCAAAACGCAGGCTGTGATATCCAAAGGAGGAGAGGAGGGTCAGGAGTTTCAGGGTCAGGGTCTCTGTGTTTTTACGCATGAAAATCCAGTTTGAGTAAAAGGGGGGAAAAAGAGCAGAGCCAAGAAACTGGGAGAATATTTACAATAAATAATAATAATAAACTCACCTGTTCGCGTGCAACAGCGCTGTATGTTCCCTTGATTCAAATCATATTCCACTGGTGTCTCCAAGAGCGGGACTTATTGACTTTTTCATCAACTCCAAACTGATCGCTGTGGATTGTCTCTTCACTTCTCCGTGAAAAAAAAAAACTCCCAGAAAAACAAAGTTATTTCTCAGTCTGGCTTTGCCGGTATCCCGGTAGTCGAACTCTAGTCCGTGGCTCTCCAGCTGAAACCTTTGAGACTCAACACTGTGTGACCGCATCCAGCAGACGCACGCTGCTGCAGCTGCTCTCACATCAGCCCCTCTCGTGGCGCGCGAAGCTCCGCCTCTTTCTCTCCAAACTCCGTGACGCGCTCAGGTGCCGCTGCGGCTCGTCGGTCTGTGGAGCTCAGGTGAGACAGGCACGCAGGTAGGACAGCGGAGATGGAAAACTGAGCAGACAGTAAATTATGAGCTCTAGTTAGTGATTGTTATGTGACACCGAACCACCAATTACAACAAAATCTGTTGGAAGAAGCCCTATTTTATGTGGGGGTTTTGAATGTATTATTTAATTCATTCTTTATGTATAATGACCTTGATTTATTCTCTCTCTCTCCTTTTAGTTTGATGTCATCTTTTATGAACTAAAGCAGTACATATTTGGTGTAAATTCCCTACTACCTAACATAAAACAACTGGATTTAGAGGGATTTATCCACCAGATCCAATTATTTTCCAAACAGGCTCTGAAGAAGTTGAAGAAGAAACCAGTAATAAAACATATTTTCCAGCACAGCATAGCTTACTAATGTGCCCCTTGGCTGACTATTAATACTCCAAATGTTAAAAATTAAACACAACCCACAGAAAAGGTCACATAGGCTACATGAAGTGAGTTTTTTCTTTCTTCTCCAACTTCCACCTGACTCTCCTCCAGCACCCTTGTGAGTCAGACTACTGGTTGTCATGTTAAAACGGCTCACTCAGCCATAAATAATGAGCTTAGTTATAAAGGCTAAACCAACTGTGTGTGTCTCAGCCATGAATCACCGCGGACAGCACAAAAAAAATCCTTTGTCCCCCTTCCTGAATGGAGGGCAGTTGGAATGAAGACTGGAAACCCTGATAACAGAGTGTGGATGAAGAATGAATAGGTACAGAGCGGCTGAGGAGCTGCACAGCGGCTGTTTGCACTCACTTTCTGACAGACTCAGTGACATGTGAGGATTTAATGAGACAGACAGTCCTTGAATGTGTGCTCAAATGGGGAGATGAGTGTGATGTGATGGAATCTGTGACATCACTGGGATGTAATAAGCGTTTCTTTGAGCTAAAGTGTCACAGAGTAACAGTTTCATCTCCTCGTTTTCAAGTTTTTAACAAAAAAAGGCTCAGCTGGTTTTAGATGTCTGCTACATTCATTCTTAGAAACTGATCATCTTTGACTTCACATTGATACATCTTCTGGACAAACCCTCCTTTCTCCTCTCAACTCCCTGATCTCCTGGAGGACACTGCCACTTCTGACATCACACCAGAGAGGTCTTAAACTGTCACTGTACATCATCCACCTTTATTTTATCTCAAAGGATCATTGAAGAGGAATCTACAGTTGCAATTGTGTTGAGTGAGAAAGAAGACAATAATATAAACAGCATAACGATGAATAAAGAATACAGTTTGATTTAAAAAGTGAAACTCTGAGTTAACAAACCAGAAAGTTCCTAACCAGGCTTTGTCCTAAGGTAACAAATCCACCCACTAGCACCTCTAAAGGTCTCTAATTGACACTAATTTAATTTGTTTAATCTTTACAGCCACATTTTCCAAGAATGGCAGGAAACCCCTGCTGTATCTCTCTTTTACCTTAGCACTTATTTGAATTTAATCTGATTGGGAGCAACAACTAAATGCTCCAAAATAATTCAATTCAAGTATGTTCTTGCATAGAAAAGTACCCTAATAAAAGCACATTGTGTGAAGCTCAGTCTCCTTTTTCTTCTTACCGATGAGCCAGAAGTTTCACAACATACTACTTCACTCTTAGCCTGTGTTTGTTAGAGGACCTGTGTTTTGCTTTACCTCAAGGCATTTCTGACACAGTTGCCAAGGGGTGTGTCTGACATCGGGCTGACTATATACCCGAGGGGTGTGTCTGTGTGGCTCCTGTGGTGGTAAACTCAATTTTGGCCTGGGGCCTTGCCTTGGCGGGGAACAGAGGAGCAAGAAGAAGGAAAAAAAGGTTGGTTTGATGGTGAACCTCACACTGCTGGCATGCAGAATGTGGAAACCCCAACGTATGACGCGTGCTGCAGGAATGATCTCCATCCTGCAAACACGGCACCTGCAACACAACAACTATGCACTTCCTATTTTCTGTGTAGATTTTGGTCAAGGCTACACAGTAGCTGAGATAAAAATATCAAGCAGAAGATTTGACTGTGTAGTTTGTGAGAGTGTGAAGTGAACCATTAAAGGGTGAATGACAACAAAACAAAGCAAAACAGGGACACTGTTACTGGAAATTAATTTTGCTGTTGAATTTTGAAATGGATGAACTGGAAGACTGGCCATGAAGGCTGGTATAACAGTACAGTGATGCCCACACTTTTGGAATGAGAAGCACAAAAGTCACATATGGGTGTTCACTGTACACAAACTTCTGGCCATATAGTGTATCTCCAAACCTGTTCAAGTAAAACTTAAACTATCTGCATGACTTATTACCTTAAACTACCGGCATGATTTAATACCATTTAAGGTGGATTAAAAAAATCCTTTTGTTCCCTTGTCATTTGGGAGGACTGACCCTTTAAGTCCTACCACAACAGCAGGCAACTGACTTATTATGGCGCCATCTGGTGGTGCTCGAAATGAAGAGAATTTTTTGGTCTCCAGAGACAAGAAGGGAGCTTCAAGTCAGGCTAATTTCTAAGCTGGTGAATAGAAAATGAAGATAGTAATCACACAGACAAAAGCAAGTGATTATCAGGGAGGAGCAGGGCTGCATTCAGTCTTGATTTTACTATTTCTGTCAACCCTTCCTGTGCACCTAAACCTAGTCCAGCAGAGGTTATTTATCACCCGCAGGGTCAATACAAACCCTGGTCAACTGCTGACCAGGACAGTAAACTCTGATTGATGCTCTTGACCCATCTGAGGCCCCAGCTGCTTCATTCTGTGGATGGACTCTTTACTTCTCGCTGATCCTGTAGCTCACGGATTGAGTAATGATTAAGTGTGTGCTGCCTTCATCACTCAGCTGTGTATCTGCATAGACAGGCTTCTTTAGCAGGATCTGTACAGTTCATGACAGAGCGGTTCATAAAAAGTTATGTGAAAACAGCAGGCCAAGGTTTTTAGCTGATGCTCTTGTATATACTGTTGTAAATCTTAATGAGAGATCAATTCAATGTTTAGGTCAAGGAGTCAAGGCTGTTAAAGAGGCCTGCTGACAAATATTAATATAGATAGTTATTTTAGTTAATGTCTGGGCTCCGTAGTGTCTAATTTTGCTAAAATACTATACTTAGATTGCACTTGTTGGGTTTTTGTTGATAAAACTGTTGAATATCAGCCAGAAATGCCACAAAAAATTTGATCTTGATCTTGAAAAATCTGACCTTTAATTGAATAAGGTTATGCAACTCTTCTACAATACTCTGTGTCTTCCCAAAATGTTTTTGGAATTGTTGCCTTCATCACAGCGGCATTTATAGGATCTCCAAACCTAAAAAAAAAAGGTAAAAATCTGCTTGGCTATACCACAAAAACTGAGAAAAAAAAGAGCTGCTGTAAATGACAACCTGCACTACAGAAAACATTAATTTTAACAGGTCATTCATTAATTCACATATTCAGGCTTGAACTGGATGTAAAGAATCAAGAAACTATAAAGAAGAAGGCCTGTATCATGGAAATAACACCCTTTTTCAAGAATTTGTATCAATTTTAATTGGAAATAGAAGATGCCATGTTACTTTTTAACATTGTTATTATTTTTTCTAAATGCAAATCTTGCTCACCAATATTCATATTGCTTCCTGCCTCCTGCCAGTCATCAGACCACCATGCCCGTAGGCTAGACTCCATATTTTCATGTCTGGGGAGACAGATCAGTGCTCCCATCTTGCATCAGTATTAGATAATGGTACTTCTAATGAAAAAGGAAATCAAAAGATTACAATCTCATACATCACAGGAAATGGTCACTGCAGCAGACAGCAAGAAAAACTGCCAGTCAATAATCTGCTGCTGTGTCTGTATCTGCTTATCTGTCACTGATGGAGTCAACAACAACACAGCTCATATCAAAGCCATCAGCAGAGGTATAAGTATAATAAAGAAGACGGAGTATAAACTTGGGAAGGTACACACATGGCTTTTAGACCACATATATCCATTTGATGAGATGTTTTACAAGAGATATAGCTCAGAAGATTGAATGTTGGTAGGTTTCAGTTTATTAGACAGCTCTTAAGGATGAGAAATACTCAGATCAGTCTCAAAGCGATTGAGAATGACACCAAGGATTTCAGAAACTGGTAGATTTGGTAGTTTCAATCTGTATCTTCAACATACTTTATAATTTTGTACAAAGCAGATCATTTCGATGCAATACACCATCAGGTTTGTAAATTACAAATGTAAACAAACTGCTCTTTGACCCTAGTTACATTAAAAATGTTCCTCTTTATTTCTTTTGACATGCTGTTTCTGTCAAATTAAATATAATACTTTTTATCTGGCAAAATAAAAAAAGTATTGCGTTCAGAATGAAAGATAGCTCCATTTCCACTTCTCTTGCTATCTGTCTTTCTCATCTCAAACCATTTATGGGAACCCTTCAAGAGCTCTTAAACTCTCCCATCTTGGTTGTTTATCTGTGGAAGCTTTGACTAAAATAAACCACACTCAAGTGTAAGTGAAATCACAGTCCAACATCTGGACCGTAGGCATTTTCCCCCATACTGTATATATTTGTGCTTATTCCCCTATTCTTGCCTCGCTCTTATCTTCTTGATGCAAATATTGAGTTTTAGAGCCTTGACCACTTTTATCTTTTATCATTTATCATATTGTATTATGTTATTCTGTTATCTGAGCTGTTTGTTGTTGTTGTTTGTTACTGCAAACCAACTGTACTTACTGGCACAAAGAAAGTAACCTGAACCTTCTGTATGTATTAATATTTATTTGACAGTGTTGTTGTGGTCCAATAGTCTTCTTGTTTGAGAGATCTAAGTTATTATTTAGTGGTGAATTGCAATACAGGGGTTTCAATTAAGAGGCCACAACAGTCACTGTGTGT